GTTTTCAAGGGAACACTATCTAAAAATTAAATCTAAAGTTCTGATTGTCTAATCTAATTCATAATATCTTAAGCAGTGAAGTTATGTGGCAGACTCAGAAATGTTAATTTTAGGGTAATTATTTTAGTTATGATCTAGATCAGGGGTCTCCAAACTACGGCCCGCGGGCCGGATGCGGCCCGCGAGGTCCTCTCATCCGGCCCGCGGAGATCTTTTTGTCCAAGGAAAAATCGTTTGTTGGTGATGGCTGAGGAACTTCGCCCAGAAAAATCAAAGACATGCCTGAAAGAACCTGGCCCCCGAACTGAAATTTGATAGTTAATGCGGCCCTCGGTGCTGCAGCTGCTTGCGTGCCATGTTGAAATTTAGAAAAAATATATTCTTAAACTTATGTAGAAAACATAATATCAGTATGGCCAAATTATGGGAGCGTAGAAATTTAGGAATTAATCGCTTGTCTTAGAAAAATCTATTCATTCAAGTCACTGTTTTCAAATTTTATAATAAGGAAAATTTTAATAAATTATTTATTAAAAACTACTAATTTTTTTCTTCCAAATATTGTGAAATAATTTTGTCTTTTAAATTCTATTAAGACATTTTTTCAAAGAAGTATCTGATTGTCTAATCTAATTCATAATATCTTAAGCAGTGAAGTTATGTGGCAGACTCAGAAATGTTAATTTTAGGCTAATTATTTTAGTTATGATCTAGATCTAGATCTAGATCAGTGGCGTAGCGAGGTCGGGTGTCACCCGGTGCGGCACTTAATGGTGTCACCCCCCCAGAGGCATAGAGACCCTTCCCAGGGACAAACTTTCAAATTTTCGATTTGCACCCCCCCTCAAACTTTCGATTCGCACCCCCCCCCCTCGAGTTTTTGATTTGCACCCCCCCCCCTCAAACTTTCGATTTTCACCCCCCCCCCCCCTCAAGTTTTCGATTTGCACCCCCCCCCCCCTCAAACTTTCGATTTGCACCCCCCCCTACAGTTTTTCTCTATATATTTTGCTCTTTTTTACCTTGGTGTCACCCCCCTAAATGGTGTCACCCGGTGCGGTCCGCACCCCCCGCCCCCCCTCGCTACGCCCCTGCGTATGGTATGACTAGGGTGGTTGGTGTTATGGTTAGGGACAGGGTTAGCATTGACATTAGCCAGCAATGTGTGTATTTAGTTAACTACCAGTAACCTAACACCCCTTTTTTTTAAAGAACATTCTATTATCGGACACTGGTATAAATATTCCCCCATGAAACTATGTTCTCATCAACTACAACATATGTATTCGGCTTTCTATAACTCGGACGACTCGCTATGTGTAGGCCTATATTTAACTTCAGTCTGTCAGAATATATTAGTCTTATAACAACATTTAGGATTTGCTAATAATAGATGTAGACTGGCTGATCTTCAGATTTCAGCAACAGTAACGTATAATTATATAAGTAGATGAAGACCCGATAGCAATGTAATGTAAGATAATTTTGGTATAGAATTATATGTTTACTAAATTTAAAAAAAAAAAAATATATATATATATATATATATATATATATATATATATATATATATATATATATAATAGCAAGCTGGCCGACTTGATGGTGACGATGTAACAGATGTAACAACAACATTTACTAAATGAACCTCTACTGTACGGTTTACCTACCACAGTGGGGCGGCAACATGCGGCTCGCGAGCCGCATGCGGCTCTTTTGATGTCGAGATGCGGCTCTTCAGCTCCATGTACACATATTAATATTTTTTTATTTTTTTTTATTTTCAAAACTCATTAAAATATTGTTCTGCAACACTCGATAACGAACGATAAAAGAATCAACATAAACAATAAACACTAGCTATTCTATTAGAATATTTAGTTACGCCATATTTCAATGTAGGCTACTTCCTATAAAATTGTCTATCCCAAACTGAAACATTCAACTTCATGGTGGAGATCAAAAATAAATTAAACGAGCTAAATCTAAACCTGCATTGAAAGGAAAACCCAGCCTATGCCTTGCTTGAAGAATATAATTGTTTCGAAAAAAAAAATTGCTTCATTTTGTTGAAAACCCGGAGCGCGGTAAATTACTTTATTTTGAAAAATCTGAAAAAAAATATCATGATAAAACCAACGCTACTATTAACATGAATCACTTCAGCATTATTATAAACAAAATGAAGGATGGGTTCACTTAGAGATTTGAGGAAATCAAAAGAAATGAAAGTACTCTGACGTTCATAGTCAGTGTACATTCTCTCAAAACAAAAACAAATAAGATTAACTTTGAGCTGTTTGGAATTGATGCTGGTTCGCTTCAAATTAAATTGCTAGATTTGAAAACCAAACATTTGTGGAGCGGTAAGTTTACTGATCTCAAGAGCAAGTTAGATGATTTGGAGGTCCAGTAAAACATGCACGTTTCACTGTACAACTGGACAGCTCTAAAAGAAATGTCGCGAGTTGAGGCCCTATTACGTGACGCATGGAAAAGTCTTACAGGATGCTAAAGTGAGGTGAAGACGTTGGCTGACATTGGACGATATTCGGGTCAACATATTCATGCGAGCAACGTCTTCTTGCATTAATATAATACCAAGTATACAAGCCAACTAACTAATAAAAATCAATAGGCGTGCTTGAAACTGAAAACGGGTTATGAGCCAGGTTTAAACAAACTTTCAAAAGGCTCGCAAGGTTAAACTGTTGTAAATAGTATTCAGTAATTAAAGTTATACAATTTGATTACTGATTTTATTATTCTATGTTTATGTTTTAATTTGAATAAATATTATTTCATATTTAAATATATATATATATATATATATATATATATATATATATATATATATATATATATATATATATATATATATATATATATATATATATATATATATTTAAATATATATATATATATTTAAATATAAATAAATAAATATATATATATATATATATATAATATCAAATATCAAAATATTTAAATACAAGTGTTATTGGCTCTTTTAAAACTTGGATATATGGTAAATTTTAACTTTTGGCTCTTCCGTCCGAAAGGTTGACGACCCCTGACCTACCAGCATATCACACGATCTTGAAGACGTCTATGTCAGACCCTTGCTTTACTAGATATGATTATGTATCGGTTATTACCACACAAAAAAAGTTTCCAGAATAATGCAATTCAACCCATCAGCATTGTATGTCATGTTTTGCATTTCTCAGACACATGTATGCATACAGATCACTGTTTCAAAATATATAATTATATACCTTTTTTAATTTTAAATTAGCATACAGCTTCACAATCTTCACGGTTTTAAAAATAAAAAAATATTTTTTTTATATTAACCTCGTATTTTTCCTAAAACGTTTTAATTCTTTATTATGACACAACGTAAACGGAATTCGATCAAGTCCATTGAGAAGAAAATTATCTCAGGTTAAGCTGCAACTTTTTTTTTTTGCTGAACTCAAAAAGGGAACAACGATTATGACAGAAGTAAATTAAGAGACAATAAAACCAAAGTTGTTGTGATAAAGTCTATAGTTACACATCAAACGTCACATATTTACAGTATATGTAATTGTTATTATACCAGTGATATATTTATACATAGCCGTATTGGCTAGACCTCGTTCAAACTATAAATAACCATAACATAATAGTTTTGTTAACTTTAACATACACGTTTATACAGACACATTTAAATATTAAAACACTTTTATCAAAATAATAGAAGAATAAATATAAGCTAACAATTTTTTCATATTTCAGCAATAGACTTTAAAATTAGATAATTAAGTCTCAGGCCAGATGGTAATGTGATGTAACATAATCTGTGACACAATCAGATGTTGAGTTAATACAAAACAAATTAACAGCAAGTTGACCGACCTGATGGTGACGATGTAACTACTATGATGATTCCACATGATGGTTGGCTATCAAACTACTGTAATGATTCCACATGATGTTTGGCTATCAGTTTGATGATTCCACATGATGTTTGGTTATCAAAATACTGTGATAATTCCACATAATGTGATAAATCCCCATACACCATCATCTGATGCTACGTCAAATATACGTACTGCTTTTGAAGCTCTTTAAAGCTTTGTTAATTTTTGTATTGCAAGAAAAAAAAAAGACTACATGTGATAGTGATAAACCTACATATTTAAATAATGCATTAATTGGTAATTTGCTATTGTCAACTTCCTTAACAAAACCTTTAGTTTATTAGTATTTTTTGTTAATAACTATTGAATAGTGTCGTAAAAAGTACCAAAGCAGTTTGTATGATCAGAACTCCTTGACCCTAACATGATTTAGTGCGTGGTCAGCACATTTTACCTATACAACTAAAAAATGTAAACGTTTTTTAAAAATGTTACACATTTTTAAAGAAAATACTTTTTAACAATTTTAACAGGATGTTTAAAAAGTAGCATGGGTAGAGTAAAATGATACGCCTTAAATCATCGTCTATAGTGTGAATCATTTCAATCTTTTACAGCTGTAAAATCACCTAAAACGCAGTTAGGATGTAAAAGCCGTTGTTACATCTTTGAATCATTTAGTTGTTAATAATGGAAAATGTATATCAATTAAAGCAAGTGTTGTTATCACTTCCCATATTGTTGTATGCACCATATTAAGGGAAGTAACTGGCAAGTAATTCCCTTAGTCAAAACAAAACAAAAGTACTAGACTGATAGGCAAAAATAACTAAATACGCTACTGTATCTATACATCATATGTTTTAAAACACTGCGTCTTAGAAAACAAATCGTATGTATTTTTGCAGAACTTTTAAATAAATATAATGTTGTTGCTCCGTATTATATATTTTTTAGCGGTGTTAATCATTTACATACATTTTGTATTTAGCGTAATTCTTAGGGAGACTCAGTGCTACTTTATCAAATTCTTTTGCGTATTAAGTGATATTTTATTAACTAAATGTTGATAATCTTAAAATATGTATCTGGTCAAGATCTGTGCAGCAAAATGTCAACTGAGAAAAAAGGAAAGAAAAGAAGCAAGTCCTTCTATAGAAAATCTGCATATGGATCAAAGCGTCCTAGTCCTGGGGCTAATATTTTACAAAAAGGCATGAAAGGATTTCTTGTCATGTGCAATAGCAATAAAAGTAGTGCAGTCAGAGAGTGCTACAATATCCTAAATGAATGTACCGATCAGTTATATGGTCCAAGTCAGGTAATGACAGACACCCACCAAGTAAACAATAATACAAACCAAGACAGTGATGATGAAGATGATGATAATGATCTGGAGAAAGCACTAAAAAAAGAAGTTCCAGGATTAAAAACCTAAACACCAGTACAAAATAGATTCCAAAATGTACTGAGCAATGCTAAAAATTGTGTCTTCATCAGCACAACTGTGGAAGATCCTATAAAACTGGTGACAGGTATAATGGAGGATATAGCCCAGCATGGTTTGAAGAAAGCTCGTTACGCAGCTCGTATTTTGCCAATTGTAGGCACCTGCAAAGCACACACAGATGACATTGAAACGACTGCATCTACTGTGTTACATCCCATCTTTTGTGATTATCCCCCGCCACGTACACTGTTTTGTTTAAAATCTAGAAACAACAATGGGAACACGTGTCCTAAAACACAGGTAATTCCAGCTATCACGCGGGCTGTGGAGAAGGTTAATTCCAGGTTAACTTTTTCTTGGAATGACTACCAGGTAGCTATAGGCCTACTGGTAGAAGTTTTGTGCACGGTGTGCTGTATAGGGGTAGCACCTGATTATATAAGGCTGCGCAAGTACAACCTACAAGAGCTGCAGCAGGGTCCTAAAATAATAGAGAAACTTGGTCCTAAAGAATCATCTGAGGTACACCCTACACAAAATAATTATTGCTTAACTACTAATCAATTCCACTCACAGTAAAAATATCACACATTGTTATATTAGATGTTCTAAAGTCAAAAGTTATAGGCTTTTGAAAAATTCAAAGTAGAAAAAGTACAACTTCCGGTTGTCGGAAATCGCTCAAAAGTTGATACGGATCTACGATTTTGATATAATACTTATATATGAAATTTCATCAACCTAGCTGTAACGGTACTCAAGTTATCGTGTTTACACACAGAAACACAGACACACACACAGACATACGGACAAGATTGCAAAATTATGTTTTTCCGTATCAGTGAGGTGTAAAACGTAGAGATTTGTAAAAATCTCGATTTTTTTTTTGCACGATTACAATACTTTCTCTATACTACGTATATACGAGAAAGTAAAAATGAAGTAACAACGTATAAGGAATAGTGTTTAGTCATTTCACTTTAATAACTTATATTTTTTTGGGAAAAAAAATATGTAATTTATTTATTTATTTATTTTTATTTTTTTTCGGTACAGTGAGTTAATGGAGCTGAAATAAATTTGGGTTTAAAGAAAATTGTTTTACAACTAATAGGCCTACTCGACAAGATGACTATTATTTTCTTCTTCAAGTCTTTATTTTAAACTCTCAGAGATTAGTACCGACACTTCTGATGATCAAATTGTCCTGCTACTGTTACTGTAAGTGTTGGATGTGTTTCATGTATCTCAGCTCACACCCTGAGTGGTCTAAGTGTTGGATGTGTTTCTTGTATCTAAGCTCACACCCTGAGTGGTCTAAGTGTTGGATGCGTTTCTTGTATCTCAGCTCACACCCTGAGTGGTCTAAGTGTTGGATGTGTTTCTTGTATCTCAGCTCACACCCTGAGTGGTCTAAGTGTTGGATGTGTTTCTTGTATCTCAGCTCACACCCTGAGTGGTCTAAGTGTTGGATGTGTTTCTTGTATCTCAGCTCACACCCTGAGTGGTCTAAGTGTTGGATGTGTTTCTTGTATCTCAGCTCACATCCTGAGTGGTCTAAGTGTTGGATGCGTTTCTTGTATCTCAGCTCACACCCTGAGTGGTCTAAGTGTTGGATGTGTTTCTTGTATCTCAGCTCACACCCTGAGTGGTCTAAGTGTTGGATGTGTTTCTTGTATCTCAGCTCACACCCTGAGTGGTCTAAGTGTTGGATGTGTTTCTTGTATCTCAGCTCACACCCTGAGTGGTCTAAGGGTTGGATGTGTTTCTTGTATCTCAGCTCACACCCTGAGTGGTCTAAGTGTTGGATGTGTTTCTTGTATCTCAGCTCACACCCTGAGTGGTCTAAGTGTTGGATGTGTTTCTTGTATCTCAGCTCACACCCTGAGTGGTCTAAGTGTTGGATGTGTTTCTTGTATCTCAGCTCACACCCTGAGTGTTCTAAGTGTTGGATGTGTTTCTTGTATCTCAGCTCACACCCTGAGTGGTCTAAGTGTTGGCTAGTGCGCATGCCATGGTAGAATGTTTGCAAGTAAAACTAGAGACCTAGAGATTTTGTACGTCTTTTATTAAACAAGATTTCCGTTCATAATGTTACATCAGTGTAATCTCATCAGGACTGTGCTGACATCAGATGGTATATGAGTGGTAGGTGTGGGGTGATGGGTGGATGGGTGATAGATACATGAGTGGTAGGTGTGGGGTGATGGGTGGATGGGTGATAGATACATGAGTGGTAGGTGCGGGATGGGTGGATGGGTGATAGATACATGAGTGGTAGGTGTGGGGTGATGGGTGGATGGGTGATAGGTACATGAGTGGTAGGTGTGGGGTGATGGGTGGATGGGTGATAGATACATGAGTGGTAGGTGTGGGGTGATGGGTGGATTGGTGAAAGATACATGAGTGGTAGGCGCGGGGTGATGGGTGTATGTGTGATAGATACATGAGTGGTGAATGATGGATGGATACAATAATGGCCATCACACAGACAAACTTGATAAAACTAACACTGGTGACTGAAATCAATTAAGACACATGCAAGACACATGCAAGACACATGTAATAAAACACGTTTAAGCAGCTACTATCCACGCGTCTAGCTAAGTACTGGTAGGATTTCAATTTGACTATGAAATAACAGTAGAAATGACGTGGTTTACTAATGTGATAAATATCCTACAGTGTTACATTCATTGAAAACATCCCAATATATATTAAGTAATTATGCAATTAGGCTAGAATGAATGCGTCTAATCGAAAACATTCCAAGGGCGATAACCTAAAATATAACTTCCCTAGTAAGGTATATCATTGAATTTTCTTTGTATATACTAAAAAAGGTCAATAGTTTCTTACAATCAATTTACAATGTTCTATATTGATACACGAAAACAGTTTTAGCTTTATTCTTATATGTGTCTTTAAAAAATGGATGACTAAATTAATTACAAAAACAGTGGCCAAGCATTATACATATATCAAAGACCATCGATGGGGTAACATCATTCAACACTATTTCTACTGCCGAAAAATTTGATATATAGGCCTACTTTAATTTTGTGGTCGCAGATTTAAGTGTGATTCAAATATTTTTTTTTTGGAAGGACAATTTTTTTTTCCCAACTGTATTACAATATACTGTCAGTGATCAAGTACGAGTGACGTTTGAAGACATTCATCAAATAGAAATAAATTTAAACTGAGTGACGCTATTTAATCCACAGCGGACACTCTGACAGACAAACAGACAGCAGATACTTTAGTCAAGCGTCAGCTATAACCATGACACAATATAATTAAATGGGCTAAAGAATTCAACACAGTAGACATTAGCGACACCTTCAGAAGCTTACACAACAAAAACAACTAACGTAAAGAAAAAGAAATAGGATACATGCTCATTTACAATACTACACCCTTCTCTAGAAACACCAAAGCAAACACGAACATTAAAATAACATGTCAAATATGTAAACAGCAGGTACAAGAAACAGAACAACATATTTTTTTAGAATGCACAACACTACTAAAAGCTAGGCAAACTTTAGGGACAATACTAGAAACCACCAACACAGACGCATTAAACAAAGCAATCACTCTCGACTCTATAAAGTAATCCAAAAATAAAACAGACGATGACAATAAAATTACTGCAATAACTATTTTTAGACATATAATTTTGACTACTAGGAACACATGTAAATTTGAACTAAAAACCAACAACGATATAGATCTAGAGGCTATATTTAGGACAGTGATTAAGAAAAGACTGGGAACACAGTCATGATTTAAGGCACTGGAATATAGTCAACACATCAGAAATACTATATTCCTTCCTTTGTTTTAAGCCTGCCACTACCATGTAAAGCCTGCCACAACCTTGTAAAGCATGTCACTACCACGTAAAGCGTTTCACTACCATGTAAAGCCTGCCAGTACCATGTAAAGCCTGCCAGTACCATGTAAAGCCTGCCACCACCTTGTAAAGCCTGTCACTAACATGCAACTCATGTCACTGTCATAAACAGCCGTTACACATCACAATAATACAGATTATAATCGCTTAACAAAATTGATGGGCCATAGATACATGATTGGCCAATTCCGGCTGTATACAATAAGGGCCCTAACACAGACACACTTTATAAAATTAACACTGCGTTTTTAAACTCTTGTATCATATATAAGCTAGTCCCGCTGTAGACTAAAGGCAATTAAGACACATGCAAGACACATACTAAACACATTAAGACACATTAAGGCACGTTAAAGACGAACTTCTACATTTCGATGGTTAAGATATATTAAACGCATACATGATTTAAACGCGTGTTTAAAAAAAAATTGTATATTTTATCAACTTCCTAAAAGATTATGTCAGGAAGATGTCATTTGCTATTACTTTCAGCGTTACTGGCCAGGTACTGGTAGGATTTCAATTCAGTAATGAAATTAATTTCAACATATTTTGATATCATTGAATTTTCCTTTTATAAAGTAAAACGGGCCAATAATTGCATACAATTAAATTATAAATATAGTATATTAATACTACCAAAAAGGTTTTTATTTGTGTCTTAAAATAATAGGTAATAAAATTAATTACGAAAAAGGTGGCCAAGCGTTAAACATTTACCAAAGAATTATAAGACCGTCAGGAACGTAGGACATTTTGTTTTACGATGTTGACGATGTAACAGATGCAACATTAACATTTACTAATTGTCTTATGAAAGTTAATAAGTTATAATTATAGTTTTAATAAATTATATTATCTTTATTTTTTTTTTTTTTTTTTAGTTTAATAAAGTTCCTCTCCTGCCGGTTCCACACTCGAGCTAGGGTAGGCAGCAAGAGCAGGTCACATGAAAATACATATAATTGTATATATATATTTATACACAATATTCTGCGCTCTTGGAATTTACCGAGTTCTTCTGTGCTCTTGTACACTTGTTTACACTTTCTGTTTATTGGTTTTCTTTTACATGATCGCTTCTCGAAGTTGTTTTTTTTTGTGATTATTACAGTCTTGGTTGGGTGGTAGTTGATTTTTAGTTGGTAGTAATGATTCTTGTAGAGTGGTAGTAGTTTAAAGCGAAGTTAAGATGGGTGAAATAATGTAGATGAAGAGTGTAATAAATATATTATCCGTAAAAAAATTTAATTAAAAAAAAGGAAATAGAAACACAGTATTAAGAAATCAAAATCAATCGCTAGTCTTAGATAAATGTTAAATTCTATTCAGTGTGTTTGAATTTTATAACGTGAGAAAACTTTAATGTAATTTAGCTTTAATCAAATTTTAAAAATATTTTTTAAAACATAAATATTTTTTAAAAGTACTATGCTAATTCATTTTTAACATCTAATTGTAAATTTATTTTAAAACTGATCACTCTGTACTTTTTTTTTGCGTTGTTTCCCTTTCATTTCTTTTTTTTTCCAAATTAGAGAAAGAAAAAGACTTAGTATTGGCAAATATGTATTTTAATATTTTAGAACTACATTTTGTTCCAGACAGTATCTTAATCTATGCCTCTATTTTGGACTGGCTCTACTATCTCATCTTGACC